TTGAATCCACTTAAATAGGCAGCAGATCTTTCGGTGTCCTCTGGAATAACACAGTGAGCATTGAACTGAGGTCATGTATCAGTTGACAGTTGGCTGCATAATTTATGTTAAGTTGGAAAATCTCTGGTGTCAGACACAGTTCATGCATAGACCGTAGCTCATATATTGACTGACAACCAGACAAAAGGTAATAGACTGTAATAATGTCGTCCACTCTATGATACGCCATTCTTCCCTCCGCTGCTCTCACCGACAGGACAAAGATCCACCTCCGGTTCAGTGGTTAACAGTGTTACTGGGGGGTTGAATGACCAAAAACACAAATTAAATAAGGACATTTTTAAGTCAATGTGCACATTTATATAAAACAAGGTTACAGAGTCACTATTAGCAGTATGAGTTATGAATCTCAACACTACCATATGTATAAATAGGCATGATTCTATTTAAAGCACTCGGGCAAAGTTAAGAAACTGTGCAATCCTTTTGAAAAAAGCTAATATTTCTAATTACAAATATATGTAATTTACCCATTTATGTTTATTTGTTATCATGATTGTGACAGCTTCCATGTTCTGCAAATTTTCACGTTGTGGTTTGCTCTGAAGTATGTTCTATGATGTTCAGTTGCCTATCTGAGAATCTTTATGTGCAACTTGGAACACTTACGATTTCACAATATTCTAGCAACTTCTATGACAAGCAGCATATTTATCACTCTGAATACATGCAAAACGGCTTAGTAATAAAAACAGACTTGTGTCTCCGAACTACTAAAAATCAACCTCTAATTACTGCTCTAAAAATCTTTTCCTAACAAGAACCATTATGCAAAGTCACTTTACAGAACTTGCATCAATCAAACAAAGCAAAACCAAAGTCTGGTGGCATTAATCACACCCTGGTCCTCATAAAACTTTAACATCCAGGAACGACTGGGTTCTGGCTTCCACGTGGGCCCAGTAAAAGCTACTGAGATGGCTGATCAGTATCAGCAGAGGTTATGTTAAGTGGTATCTACCTTGAAATGAAGAAACAGTGAACTAACTCATTTTAAAGCACTAACAAATGGTCCTTGTTCTGAAACACACTGTAGTAAATGCAGGACACTGGTCCTCTGTTTTTACTTGACTGATGTACAGAGGGCTACCAACTGTAACAATCCGTGTATGTGCTTATGTGTTTGTGTGTGAATGCCCGCATGTGTCTACATGTACACACTTCCGCATGTGTGCACCGTGCATGTTTGTGTTCTACATGTCTTGTGTGCATTCGCAGGCGCGTGCTGGTGTGCGAGAGGTGCTCCCCGTTGTTTCGGCCGCGCCACCGTGCCATCTGGAGAGGAAATCGAGTGTGAAGTACAGTATAGTTTGGGACCAAGCTCCGTGGCAGCGGCTCAGCAGTTAGTTCATTAGTTCCAAACTTCCAGGGATTAGGAGAGAATCTCTGCGGCAGGGAGGCAGGGGGGAGTCACGGAGGATGGAGGGACCCATGTGGGGAAAAGAGAGGGAGAAAGAGAAACACCAGGAGGAATAGTGGACCAAAGGGCACTAAGAGACAGAGACGGAACATGAGGGAGAGAGAGATAAACAATCTTAACCCTGAGGACCCTGGAGAGGGGAGATGAGCGAGAGAGAGGGGGACGGCGAAAGAACAAGACGGCGAGGAAGAGAGGAGGAGAGAGGACAGGTGTAGCCGTCAGTTCCGCTCCAGGGTTTCAACCTGCCCTCCCTTTTCCTCCACCCCACTGATCATACAGATATGATGATATGTGTAAGAGTGTTAGAGCAGTCAGCCTTGTCTTCCCTCCCCTCTCTCCTCCTCCCTCCTTCTTCTCTCCCCTCTGGGTCCATGGCGACAGTTAGCAAACTCTGGGTGGCTCCTACCCTTTAGTCCCTTTCTTATCTCCCTACCTCTTAAGCAGCCATCACTACTGCCAAAATGGAGTGCAGACATTTGTGGAGTCAACGTGGCAGGCAATTAAAGCAGGCACTCCCGGATTTCAATTTTCAAGGGGAGGGGGCGGACTGACCTTCATCGCGTACCTTTTTGTCATGAACATCCTTCCCTGTTTTAAGGTGAAGGTGAAAGATAATGAAAAGAATACATTAATGAACGAATAATAGGAGGGTGGAGGTGGGCAGTAGCCCCGTTCAAGGCCTATCTATGCACACCCAGTAACCCACCTCACATTTCACCTACTCCATTGTTGCCTTCGCCAAAACAGTGGTTCAGAGTGGCATTTTAGCAAGCTTGGGACTTGCTTTGCTCCCATTAGGCATGCATTACGAGACTTTGAGACATTGTTGAGGCCTGGCATGTCTTGGCAAACCCACAGTGCAAACTGTGCGGTTGTCATGGTGAATATAATCGCACCTAGGGTATACACTGTAGAAAATGTCAGCACAAACACGCTCACATTGTAATCGCTAAATCTATCATCCATTTACAGATCAGTTGGTCCTGGAGCAGTTCTTAAATTGACTTAATGAAAGGCAGGTTAGGGGTAATACTTCTGACAAGACATTATGGGGCATGTTTACAAAGCGTCCTACAAATTACCGTCAGGGGTACAAAATAGGGCTTTTTTTTTTTCCAATTCAGCTGAGTATTTACAATGACATTAAGATGTCCTGCATCAGATTTGCACAAGACCATGAATGTATTTGGCAGATGCTTTCAACACAGTGATTTCACAACAAAAGCATCAAATCTAAAAAGTAACATAAGCTAGATGTAATCAGAATTGGAACTTTATAGCTTGACTAGACTTATGGTGAGCCCTTCAAAGTAATGAAAACGTACATATAAAAGCTGATGAACAGAGAAACAAACGGCAGGCTGTATCTTTTTTTTTTTACATTTTTTTTTTCCCTTTTGTTTTGGCACTAAATGAAGAGTTTCTCCAAAGTGATCTATTATTCTACTGGGCTTTTATTTTCAGAACTGTAACTGAAGAGCGAACAAAGTTGTCCCAACACTCTCTCATCACTTTGACGAGGCAATAGTTTTTCTCCCTTGTGTCCGATAACACTGTAAATGCTGGCTTTACACGACATCTACGCAGAGCAGGAGAAGCAGATTCAGCAGTGTCATGCATGATTTGGCAGCGCCAAGAGCCCAATAAAGAATCACATATGTATGACTGAACAAAAGAAACATCAACCATACTGTAAAAATACAATTTGGGCCGGGGTCATGTGTACAAGAGATGAAATGTGAGCCATTACCTAATATTTGTAGACAACTGTATTAATTACAAGACAAGTATATCTGTTCTGTCAGACTTGTGTGTGGTAACAACTCAAATACATTCTCATAATCTGTACAGATCTCCATTTCTTCAGTCCATATTTTGCTTCTCTCAACAGAGGCAGCTTTGAATAAATATTACATGATTATAAACATGCGATATTGTGTCAATGAGGCAATTTAGTAAATGCATTTGGACAATTTAGTGCCTAAAGAGGGCTCAGAAATCCTTCGTGAACATCCTTCTGCCTTTGTAGTAAAGATGACATTTAGAAAATGAAAACATCTGGTGAAAAGGTGAAACAATTATTATAACAAACTGATTTTAAAGCAGAAATTAATATCTAAAACAAATGTCTTAGAGGTACTGTCAAAAACCCACAAACACTAAAACCACTGTTTGGCCAAGAGGAAAAAAAAATCTTAAAAGGAAGGTATAAGTACACAACAACCCCCATGGATTTCCAATTGCCACAGTGGAGAAAGACGCCGAGAATGTGGGAAGTGAAGAAAAGGGTGCCAGTAGGGAAGGTGTATTTTGTTATTGAGTAAATAACTAATTTTTATATTACACAGCATGACCCAGCAAACACATAATGGATTACAAGGCTTTTTGCACACTGTGCTGGAAGCCAACATGTCAAAAAGTGGCTGGAATCTGTTCCAACGCCATTCTCTACTTTGTACAGTGCAGCGCTGACATAGCAAGATCAGAGAGGGACAAAGTAAATGGGAATACTAGGCAGGGAACTATTGAGGCACAACAACATTTTCCAGAATTTATTGTCGGTATTTTGGGGTGTGCGTTACTCAGAGTGCTACTAGTGCAAGACAGAGTGGGGTGACACTATTCTGCATGTTAAAGGACTGAAACTAGCCCGAAGCTGTTTTTCCCCTTCATTTCTAAAAGCATTTATGAGGCTACAGGTAGGATCTACTAGCTAATTGCTTACAGAAAAACAGCCTTTTAAATGGATAGAAAAAAATCACCATGTCATATTCTAAAATTCACTAATGTTTCCTGCAGATTCCAGAAATAATATGTTCTATGTGAATTGAGAGGAAATAAGTGAGTTGGAGCTGAGCACTTTTGTTTAAATACATGAAAGACAGAGACATTCTTCACAAGCCTTAATGGCTTCTTCAGCGCTGCATTCCTCTCCACATTTCCCCCTTTAACACATAATAAAGACAGAAGCTCTGACATCCACCAACACCATCCAGGGTCACAGTTTCAGCCTGTCAGTCACACAGGCCATCATCTTATTGTCTTTGTCTACTACAGGAACAGCCTCCAGCCATATCAATCATCTTTATTATCATGACTTAAAAACCTTTGTTAGTTAACTTTTTGCCCAGGCCCCTTCTTTATTCCGCTCTCCAATCACAATTTCATGGGCAGTTCAGCAGGGCCAATGGGGAGGTTGCGTGGGCAGGGGGAGAATGCTTTTAACCTGCTGCATCTGGTGCTTTCCCACTGCTCACCCAGTGGGACGTGGTCACCTTGTTTAAAATGACTCTGATAGGGGGCACCGCAGCCTTTATGCTATCATAATGGGGTGAAATGTGCTTGTTTTAAACATCTCACTTAGGTAGTTTTCCTTTCAGAGATTAAGACCAAGCACCTGTCTGAAGGAGGGAGACGGGATTAATCATTCACGAACCCACGGCTATGCTTGGATGTCTGTCCTACAAATTCATACAAAGCCGAATTTCATTCATACGTGTGCATCCGTGTATTTATGTACCTTTTTGCTGAGGGCTACGCCATCCTCGCAGTCCAACACGGCGCAGTCGACATCCAGCGAGGCCAGTTTCTTCAATTTTCGCTCATCATTGCCAGGGCAGTAGAGAACCGCCCTGCGGGGTACATAGTGCAGCGAGGAGCCTGCGGAGTTATGGTGATGACACCATGCTTCAGTATACAATTGCCAGACTGCAGGCTGGAGCCAACCTCTCTCTCTGTAAACACAAATATATACATACGTAAGCACATGGTGAAACATGAACACATACATGCTTTGATGTACAGAGAAAACACAACACTCAGGGGTATCATGAAGGCACCAATACACATATTTGGTGCAAATATAGCACACACAGTATCAATACAGGGCTAAAGGCAATGAATAATTAAAGGTTGTTGCTGCATTTATTATTTCTACAGTGTTGATATTACGCATGAATATCCAGAAGGAGACAGCTTTTTCCAGACTAGAGTGAAAGTCTGGAAACATTTCATTTTGGGAGTTCTGTTTTCCCCTTCAGCTGTTCATCGAAGTGAATGAGAGACGCTGACCTGTGCTTTGGCTCTCTTTGTTAAGGACAAACTCACCCAAACACTGAGCCACTCATATGCTAATGTCGCCACACTGTTGAATATCTAGGCAGGGCAGAAAGTGAATGAGCTTGAGTGTCACTGTGTTGTCTTGAGCTGAGTCATGGGGAAATTTAAGTTTGAGAAACAAAGTGTAGCTGTGTTTCCCCAAACTAAAATGACAAATTTTAATTTAGAAACTCTTATTGTAGTTCACGTATGTAATTTTGCTACTAATAGTGCGGGTACAAAACCTACTTATCTCGTCAAATGGGTGAGTATACATAAAGACAGCATGATTTTCAGATGTTATCGTGATTTGCAATGACCACGATCACTAAATGCATAATAAGCTTTACACAGTTTTGAAGTACAAATAAACTACGTGCAGTACAACACAGCTGTCAAAATGCAGTTTTAAAACAGAAATCATTGCCTGCACATTTGATTATTTTACCTCTGGACAGCACGTGTAATGGCAAAATACTGCATCTGCATGAAGAATGTCAAAGCAAGTTTCATTACGTCTCATTAAAGCTGAGTGGAAAGTTTACAGGCCCAATGAGAGGAAATGTGTTTTCATAACATCTAGGTAAAAGATTAGTGACCATACAGAAGGAAGAAGAAGTTGTCCATGTCAAGAACATTATAGGAAACACAATCTTGTTTCATCCAATGTGTTTAGACTTTTGATGTCTGATCCAGTGTGTTTAGTCTTCTAATATCTGTGGATGAGTGCACCCTGTACCCCCAGTTGTTGATTATCAAGCACGAGATTGTTATACTACCATTGCAGCGAAGGCCATGCCTGTACATGTATAAGAAAACCATGCTGCCTGCACTCATGTGTACTCTCCTGCAGACTGCTTGCACTCTGTATGACCTGTACCTTCAAAGCTTTGAATAAAACAAGACAAAGACAACTCAGACTTCTGGACCTTATGAAGATCATAGCAAAAATTTCCACAACACATGAACATTACTTTTTCATCTTAAATGTTTCTTCCAAATGTTCTGCAGCTCTTAGCCAGAATTTGTTTTAAGAGTCTGACAGGCTGTTATTAAATTTGTAAAAAAAAAATATTTTTAAGCGGCACTGATTGATCAATTTTGCTGTAGAGCAAAATAAAGACAAAATGTGCATAAAGCTGTTCCACTAAACTAACCTGAAGATGTGAAATATTCACTTGGATAATGTGGACTAAGAGACCCTTTAACATGGTCATCATCTCTTCGTGCACCCTCAATTGTGTAACACAAGCCTTAATACTGGCATGTGTACCCTTTCCCATATATGCACACATCCACACAACTGTCGCAGCTTAATTGTTTGTTCTGTCAATCTGCTTTCTGAAACAATTGGTCCTGATAAATAGCTCATTGAATAAGATCAGATATATCTAATTACAGCGGGAAACAGCTTCTCCCACAACTAACTCTCTCTGGGTATCAGAAGTCCTTTGAGGGATCTTCTTGGTAGATAGTGTCCTTCTTTGCCCGAGGAAGGCAAATGAAAGCAAGGCAGAAAGAAAGAGAAGGGATATCCCTTCTGTTAAAAGAGGGGGCTGAGTTATTCTCTTTTCTTGTCTTTTGCTCTCTAAAGGAGCTAAAGTGACTTCAGTCACCACTTAATCCTGTCAACTACGCTTCCACATGCCCTCCAGTCCAAATAAGGCCTAATCTACAGTGAGATGTTGCAGTTGTAGCAGGCAGTTAAAACCAATTCACAGTGCTTCCAGCCTTTTAGCGCTTCCAGGTTTTTTTTTTGACAAAAGGACTTAGAGAGAAAATATGAAAGTTTGGAGGGAAAACAATTGCCAACCCCACGCAAATTGTTGGCCACTTAAAACAGGCAGAGCTCACAGCAGTTTTAGGGACTAAAAGCTACAGGGTCAAAATGGATGTGGAAAAAAATAAAACACAAAAACTAGGAAGGAAAATACCGGGTAAAAGAATGGAGGCGGAAGTGCAGAGTGCTACGGTGCAGGGGGTGAAATCAGCCTATTCTGAGCATACTGCTCTGGGGGAATTGTAAAACTCATAAAGTGCCCTCTTAAAAGGCAAATATATTACTATTTAAGTACAAAAAAGATGATGACTGTAATTTAAGCATAGACCCCATTATGAAGGGGGGAAACTGTGAATGAGGAGATGGCGTGGAGGTGCTTTGATGTTGGCTAGAGACAATACAGAAGCAGAGGTCAACAACTGAGACCAAAATCAGCATTTCTCCTCTACCATTCTACCACTTTCTGCTCTTTAATAGCCCCAAGGAAGTCTCATTTTACAGTAAAACTGGTACCTGAAGGGCAAAAAAAACCCAGATGAGGCACCTAAGCTGGTTGCATTTTTTTTTTAATGTCCTTGCATGGAAATAACGAAGGGGAAATTGTTCAATAAAACATTCCCTGTTCAACTTGGGGAAAAAAAAAAGAAAAGAGGACATACACTGGCAGTCTAAGAGGAAGTAAAACGTGTTCCTGGGCCCCATACATTATAAATGTAAGATAGAAAAAGAGTGTAAATTTAATGTTCCCTTGTGATATTTTCTGTTTAAAGAGTCAAATGTCTTTATTGGCTATAGAAGAAGATGTAGTTTGGCTTTACGTAGGACGCTCTAGGACAGCTATGACAAAGCTGTGGCTCCTAATTCTACAATTGTGAAATTATCTATTAAAAAACTGACAGAAAACTTAGTACAAGCGTGTTGCCATTCCTTAGAAAGATGATCTTGCCTTCGTGATGCAGGATTGCTCTGATAAAACGTAAACGAAAGTTGAAGTTAAGGGTCTTTCGAGTAAGGCTGCAACTAATGTTTTTTTCACCATCAATCAAGCTTTAAAAATATTTATATATATTTTTTTGTCAGTTTGTATATTGTAGTAACTCTGCCCAATTTTTCACTTTCTGTCCTTTTCTGCCTCCTTCACGCACAGTCTTTACTCAGCTGTAGACTATTCTTCTCATGCAAATTTTAAAAAGTCACTCCAGTGCAATTAATTTTCCCCTTTCAACCCAAAATGGTAATTAAATGATTACTCCATTCTCACATTTAAAAAAGCAAAAAACCTCAAAATCCCTTTCCTGTCTAAGTTAGTAGGACTGTATAGACAAAAAAAAAACTTAAGTAATAAAAACAAAATGTGTACTTAATTTGATTAGCTTGGTGCTGTTTTAGCATTAGGGTTTGACAAATAATGGATAAAACAGTGAACAAAGTGGTTATTCTGAAACATCGGTTTACTCATAAAAACTTAAAGGAGACGCAGGTATGGTCAGGAACCCATAAACATCATACATTTGAACAGAACTCTACAGAACATGCAGTTTAAAGATTTCTTTTTATAATAATACCACATCTGGTGAACATTTTCCCATTATTAGATCAATATATGCTTGCGTTCTATATATTTAAACAGTCCCCAAAGTGCCATATGCACCTATGTTAGGTTTTTTTTTTTCCCCTCCCTTTCTGTTTTTTACATGAAGGGTTACGATAACACAGGGCTGTGCGGCCATGTAGCAGCTGTAAAGTGGTTGGACCTGACCACAGTGACTATGTTTACTGGTCTGAGATCAGAGGTAACTGTGTGTTAGTGGGGTTATATGGTGCTGGATGGGACTGGTTCCTATTAGTAGAGAGGCCGCAGCAGACCCAGCCCTAGTGGCACTGAAAGAGGGGGGAGGATGGGGGAGACAGAATGAGGCGAGAGGGTGGTGAGCTCTGTGTTTGACTAGACATGGGTTTTTCTACGCCAGCAGTACAGCATGTCATATTTGGACCGGCTATCAAACAATTATAAACAGCCAAGAAACATTGGTCTTAAAAAGTTTCAAGCTTATTTTCCTCGACACGGCAGTTCTCCACGGCGGCTGAGCAGTATTTTATATGCAGATTTGTGTCTGTCTTCTTCCAAACACCAGACAGTGTCTTGGACAAAGCAGTTCACAGGTACAGAGCTACCAACTGATCTTCAATCCCACAGAATAGCCTCTGATGATCTGACACTCCCCGTCAGCGTCTCTGTACCGTCTAACTACAATAAATCCACCTTGAACCACATATCCTTGAACTACACATCTTATCTTCAGCACTTTCGGGCAACTATGTGACTAATGTACATGTTCACCGTATTCATCTCCTTATCTCTGAAATCCCTTGTTATTTAATCCAGACAGGTGCACCAATATGTCTCTCAAGGTAACAGGTAATAGCGTGTCACTAAGAAATGTCAAACTATGTAAGGATCCCATGCTTCTATGTAGCCGTTTCGTCTCGTGTGCGTTTTAGATTTTGCTTTTGGCATTTGGGGGTTCAGAGGGCATGTAAAAGTTCACACCAGAGCTATTCATTTATTTCTCGGAGGTCATAATTTGCCATCAGTTTTGGCTATCAGTGGTGATATGATGGGGACCTCCAAATGCCTGATACAAGATCAGCTGTAAGAATGATCAAAGTCAGTCAGAAGCAAAGAAGAAAGTTGAGGAAGCTTAGCAAGGTTGGGGTTAAACCAGAAGTCAGGGTTTGCACTAGAAACTGCTGTTTCTTTTTTCAATTTTTAAGCATTTTAACCATTTAAAGCAGCCACGGTCATTTCTGAAAAGTAATTGTTTTAATTGTAACCACAATGATAAAAGGTCCTCT